GTTCTATTAAGATCTACGGTATAATTTTAAGCCCTTTTAGTGTGTGAAACCGTTTTAAAAAAAGAAACATTTTTTTAATTTTATTTGTGTATAAACCATTAAGCGACTGTATATTTTTATTATAATTTACTGCAAATTTAATTTATTACTTACATAATAAATGAGTATAATTATCAATAGCAATAACAGAAAGAACGAAAGTTTTGGTCACAAATTATTATTTAATTAATGACTTCTCAAGGTGGAAGAAATTTAAATTATTTAATTTAATTAGGCAAAGAGAAATGGGATTTTCATTAAATAGTAGCAGATATGTTATTTCGTCAAGAAAAACCTAATTTTAACTACAAACTGCAAATGACACTAGTGATTATCGAAACAATTACTAATTAATTATAAACTAGGGGATTAAATATAATTCTTATGTATTTTAACCATTTATAAGGGAAACGTAAACATACCGAATTTTTAATTTTCTAAAATTATAAATTTTGAAACGTATTTAGACGTGCTTTATTACGATATAAATGTATAATAATTTCGTCTATCTGTTCAATATATGCAGGTGTACATGCATTTGCAAGACCATTAATTTGATATCAATATTAATTTGTCGCATTTGCCATAATTATCAATTTTTCTTCTAAGTATTGTTAGATAAACTAACAATGGTTAGGCAACAATCACAATACCGTGATTGATATTATTACCATAACTGAGTTTTAAAGTAATAAATTGATGCATTACTAAATATTAGAACAAGGAATTGCAAGTTACGTTATAATTTACATATTGCAACTACTTCACATTCTATTTAATTGTAATCGAATATATTGTATGTGGTTCCGTTGTTTTTTTTTTAACTATTGTAACAATTAGTCCTTGAATAAATAATACACGATTTTTGTAAGGTATGAATGTAGTATCTAATTATGCGCAAGAATGCTACTTGCTTGCATTAGTAGATTTCTAAATCGGTTATGCAAATTTTTCTTGAATGTCAAGACAAAAAATGTTTTTTTTCGAAATGCCTTTCAAAACATTTTTAGGCGTCAACTCTTTACCATTTTGCGGGACCTAGATAGTGATCGCAATTTTAACGGCTAAAAATTCTCTTTAATAAGTAGTAATTCTTCGCACTCTATCTAATGCTTAATATTTAAAATTTTGCAGAAAATTAAGCCGGAATCTGTGAATTTTTCTTCAAAACCAGTAAAAACAAATGCGGCAAAAGCCGGTCGGTATGTTTCAGTCAATAACTCGAAAAGCTCTCCGTTTGCTTCTTCAGGGAAAACAACAAAAAAGATATAATTTAAAGAAAGGGGAAGTCTTCTAATTTTGGATAGTTGCCTAATTTTGGATAGTTGCCTAATTTTGGATATTGTATTAGAAAACTCAAAATTATTAATAACTTTTATAACCGAAACCATAAAACAAAAGGTTTTTAATATAATATGATTCTAACTAAAGTACCTACTCGACTAATCTCCGCTAAGTCAAACACCATCGTCCGTGAAAATTTGGACAGGTTATGATGCTTAGTCTTAAAAATATACATTTAAGGTATATACCCCAAAACGTCATCTAGAAAAATTGATACAAATCATAATGGAACGTAAAAAGTTGAAGCTATAATATGAAATTTTAATGTGGAGTGCAATCCCTACTGTTCAAAATAAAGTAAACCATCTGATTGTTGTACTTAATTCTTTATTGACAAAGTTAACACAAGTGCAATCCGTAAAAACACTATATTCTTCCCAAATGTTTGGAATACTATAGATCGGGAGTAAGCAACACAAATTGAAAAATGACTAGACCGTCTTGGTACCCTTCTGGGAGTTGTTGGGAGAAAAACTTCGGCATTGATTTGAATTTTCCAGTAATTTCGATCTCCTCCTTAGATCGTCTACTAATCGCCAAATTTCTTGAAACTTCAATTCAGTGCCCAAGATTTATGAAACAAAATGACTGCCTTATGATTTACACCATGTTATGAGTTTTCAATCGATGTGAGTCAACCAATTAGTGAGTAGAAATTTGGTACAACCGGAAACCATTTGCCAACAACTGAGCGGTGAATTCATTTATTTTTTATAATGTATTTCTATGAAAACGGCAGACGGCATAAAGTTAGTGAAACATCACATATTCCTAAGTAATTGTAAATAGATACGGGACGCTACGTTTCACCTAAAACCCTTTACTTAGCCAGGATTCAGGACAATAAGAACATGTACTTTAAATTCCCAAAACGACAAACGGCACCCTGGTACTGATACCTCTTGTCTATTCTGGTTTGCCGATTGGAGAGTTAGTTCGCACTCCGACAAGCAGGAGCAGCACTGCTGGGTAATCGAAAGAAATTAAATATTTTAATTATTACCCATATATTGGTTAAATAGATATACATATAAGTGTAACTTCTATGTGTCAACCTTTTTTACTATTTTGATTTCTTACTCAACTAAGAGGCAACCAATATTAAAAAAATTGGAATAATTTACGTTGGGTTGTCTCGTCGACAAATCGAAGTAGACAAATTTACAACAAAGACAGAGCGTTTTGATTTGTTAACTCTTTAAATTTTTGGTAACTCTTGATTGCACTGTATGAACATATCATCATCATAAGGTCATCAGTCTTAAGTCTGGTTGGACACGCACCTCCACTCTACATCCTACATCCTTAACTATTAGTGACCAGTAATCCAATCTAGGTCTACCTCTACCCCTCCTAACTCCCGACTCTGCCTCTAATATGTCTGTAACACCACATTTCGAATGCTTCTAACCTTTTCTTTTCTGCCGCGTCCACTGTCCTTGTTTCGCACCCGTACAGCGCCGAGCTGCAAACATACACCTTCAACAATCTTTTTCGAATTTCTAAATAACCGTTCGCGAGCGTAAAAGTGATTTATGATCATATATCGAATTAAAAAAATTGGGCAAGTTGCTTCCATTAAATATCTCCATTCTGGAAATAACACACATTTCAGCAGTTTACACTATTTTCTTGCATAGACGTGGAGCTCTGAAAAATATCATACTATTTTCCCGTAATCCAGCGGCGCTGAAAACTGGAATCTTCCTGGTCTAATAATTCTTTTATTAATTACCTTATTACTCCAGCAGTTTAGCTCTCATATATTCGCTGTGGTAATTACCCCAGGTGCGAACTTCTCAGAGGCTACAGATATAATTGCATTGTTTCAAGCGACACAATAAGTACTAAACGCAGTTAAAATATATCTCTATAAATTCCTATGTAATAATCTACGTGTACTAAATATAGCTGCCCATTTGTAGATCATTTATATGCAAAATAGGAACGTGTTAGTTTGTACAATAAATCAAGTCTTGCAAGGAAAAGAATTTGATCACGAAATGCGGCTGATTATTGCACTGGTTTTCTTTTATGTACATTTTATTGCGTAATTTTACCGTCTTAAGCCAAAGGGGCATAAGTGAAATTAAGTGTCGTTTCTATGCCATAATTTGAGATATATATAAATATATATATATAAATAACAAAAGAATTAGAAATAATCAAAACAACATCTCGAAGTCAAACTATTGGCGTTTCGTCCTCGATTACATGTAACTTCACTAAAAATCTGCCGACCCTTCTGAACAGATTAACTAAGTAATAATAATCTTTAAATCTTGTTAGGATATGAAATTGTTTATAAGAAAGAGATCAAACAATGTCACTAAACTCCATGTGATGAACCAATAATAATAATTTATCATTAATAGAAACATTCTAGTTAGGTAGTGGTTGTAGAATATTTTTTTTTTTATAAAAATGTGGTAATGCTATTCACGACACTTCACACTGATCTTGGGCGATAAGTGATTTAAGTTATCAGTTGCAGATAACAAAAACTATCGATAAATCGATCACTAGCCGTTATATAGTGATACTTATTGATATATCGATATATTCAACAATTATCGACAGTAATCAATGTATCGATATTCAACGATAACTATTGATATATTGACTATGGAAAACAATATAAGCAACT